CCAAATCCAGACCGTGAAATGAAACTCACATTAATTTACATGGATAATTTGGACATTTGAATCATTTATCCCAGCATTTTCTGTTAAGCGCCAAGTATAACAGTAGCATGGGAGAAGAAAATGATTGCCAAGAAATAACTGTCCTAAATGTAAAGTAGCAGCAGTTTCAGATCTGAGCCTCCTCGTGTGCATTTTTCATCAGATGTAAGTCACACTCGGTTCAATAGGCTTGCTCTCTATTAAGTGGGCATGTTACATTGGAAGTTAACATGAGCACAATCCACATCCACTTGTCAATGGCAGAACTCTCACTGGATTTAACAATCTGTATTACACCTGTTCAGTTGGATCCAGATTTAGGAGGATACAACTAGCTGATAAAAAAGGTTTCCCTGCCCCTCCTCCTCACAATAGATCCTTCACCTCTTTGAAAATACTATAAAGAAGGAAGGGGGAACTTACTGATGTGGTGGAAGGAGACTGGGTTCCTTAATATGCAGAGGCACTTTCCCGAGCAAAACACTTCTAGCTATGAAAAACAGATCTTGGATACAACCCACAGAGTTCAATGACATTCTATATCCCTTCTTTCTGAATTTCCATTGCACTTTTTTGGTTTACATCCATGACTTAAACTGAGTTATGAGCTGCATCTCTTATGCTCCTGTTTGATTTTGCAAGTGAAAACCTGATCATTGAAAAAAAATTATTCTGAAGATACATAGACAAAGTTGTCTATGTATTATTAATACACATTACCCTACTGTCACGTTTTTCTGAAAGTTCAGGAAAAGACCCAAAATGCTGAACAGTAAGACATCCGGATCAAAAAGAAAGCTCTTTATAGAAGATTACACAGCCAAGACACCATGAATCTGGATTACCCAGTTTTAGAGGAGTTTACTGGATTTTACTTTTTTTTGGCATTTTTGATATTATTTATCTCAAATGTGAAGAATGACATATATTCTAAAATACTACACTCAAATATTTTTCTCCAGTAGATTCACATTGTTGATTCCTTATGCGTGCATGTTGAATGGGTACAATCTGGTTCTGTTCAACTGCATTTCTGATTTGCTGTTAGTTCAGTAAGAGGAGGATCAGAGCCCATGTTTTAGCCTCTTGCTAGTTTGTTGAAACTTCTTTTTGTGCTATTCTGTTATGGTTGACCTCTTACAGGTTTCTGATGTGGCTAAATAAATAAGGTTTGGATCAAGAGTAGGAATCATGTGGTCCCTCAGATGCTGTTGCTTTGAAACCCAGCAAACCTAGCTAGCAAAGCCAATGGTCAAGAATACTGGAAGATGCAATCCAACAAAATTTGTACAATTATTATCGTTGCTTTAGATAAAACTACTCTTCAGTTCTAGAAGGAGCAAGAAAAGGGGACAACTTCATAATTCTGATGGGAGTCTATGCCATAGTTTGGGAGTTAATACAGGAGAAGGTCCTGTCCTGAGTGCCTGACCATTGGGCCTCTGCAAATCTGAAGTGTAAAAGGGTCTTTTCTGCAGAGCTTAATAACTGAGCAGATTTCTAACAAGACGACTATGGAGTTTCTAATTCATGTTTCATGCACTTTTAATTATGAATAGGTTAGGATTCTGTTCAGTTCATGCTTTGATACAAACTTTCCACAGTGTTCACATTTTATGACAGTTCAGATTTAAGAAAATGTAATATGGGGAGAAAGCAGAATTGAAAAGGTCTCTTTAGGCTTGGATGTTTATAACTCTTGAGAGCCTGGCTTGGCATCTCTATGTATTCTCCTCTTCTTTTTCTGCCACCTCCATTTCCTTATCTTTAAAAGACTAGGGTAACTGGGATGGCACAATATGGCCTTCTCTGTGCTAGGAATAGCATTATCTGATGAATACAACAGTACAAGTGGTGCAGAATTTCATTCAGTTTATTTGTGATATGAACTTATCAAAATTTACAAATTTCTTCATAAACAAAATGGAAATAATTTCGGGGGGAACAGTTTGGAGGAAGTTGGGGAAAGGCAAACCTGCCACATTTTCTATTCCTATGACTCTGGATATCAGGGTTCAATTCCTTCCTCAACCATGAAAACCTAGTGGGTGACACTAGGGACCTTATCCCACGGGGCCAAAAGCAGCAAGAATCCACTAAGAATCAGGCGCTATAGCGCTATAGTTTTCCGGGTGATCACACGACGTCGCTCAGAATCGGCTAAGAATCAGGTGCTATAGAGCTATAGTTTTCCGGGTGATTACACGACGTCGCTCAGAATCCGCTAAGAATCAGGCGCTATAGCGCTATAGTTTTCCGGGTGATTACACGACGTCGCTCAGAATCCAACAAGAAACCGCTCGGAATGCAGCATCATTCGGGTTCTTTTGAATGTCGGTTTCAGCGGGCATTGCAATAGCGCGAGCTTATCCATAGCGCTATTATAGCGCTAGCGCCATATTTATACAAGCGCTATAGTACTGGAATGATGCTCATATCGCTTTCTTGCCACTTTTGAGAGCAGCGTGGGATAAGGTCCTAGGTGAGTCTCACACACAGCCTCAGAAATCCCCATAATAGGCCTGCTTCAGGATCTCCATAAGGTGGAAATGACTTTAAGATACACAGCAACAACAAAAACCTTTCATTTGGTAAATACAACTTATCAGGTAGGGATGAAGAATACTGTGTCTTACATAATTCTGTTTTGCTATAAACATACAAATGCCCTGGCCAACCTATACATCGGTGTTAGAGGCAGACAAACCAATTGCAAACAGACTAAAGTAATAATAATAAAAAAAAGCTTAGGATGAGAACACCAGGAAGCTTTCTGTTGCTGGTGTTAGTGGTCTAATTATTTTGTGTGCAATGGGATCCTGTCTGTGATAATTAACACTTTTTCACAATATACACACATTATACTATTGAGCCACATGGCATTCACATGTACTATGTGGGTAGTACAATAGTTCATACATTTTTCTTCCACAGCAGCCCACAACTCTCAAGACTTTAACACACACATACACATACACACACAAAAACATCCTGTTAAATGGCCCAATTCCATGAGTTACTGCATTGACAAATAAAGCTGCTCTCCCAAGAGGTAATTGAATTGCTTTTTATTTCTTATTGTTCACTTCAGTAAACACTTTAAATACATAACAAATTCTCCATACATCTCTCTTCACAAAGAACACATGAGCACACATTCCCTCATCCATGCAGGGTTGCTTGCTATTGCTGCAGGCAGGTCAGACGACACATAAATTGGAATCCAAATCCCGTTCCAGTGACTATATTCCTTGTTGGCAAAGAAAGATTCCATTCTGGCTTGTGTAGCCTGCTGCTTGAGTACTGCCCACAACAGCCCCTAAAATATGTGGATGTGTGTGCTATGAATATTAGATAAGGTTTCTAAGCTGATGAACCTACTTATTATAACTGAATCTACAGCTGGCTCCTCTACTGGCTATTTGACAGCCATCAGCTGCTAGTCTGTCTTCCGGACTGCATATTGGTATGAGCTGTCCAGCTTTCTGATATTTTTTTTCCGAGACTGCTTACCCTGTCTTATTCTCTATAACTGTATATTCATAATGTCCTAGATAGTCCTTTATTTAAGGATGTAAACATGTAACAGAAGTGTTACATCATGTGTGAACAATTTATATAAACAGCTTGCTTTACACAAAAGGTCATGAGAAAATTATCAGCCTCTGAAGTGTTAACTATCATCTCTGAATATTATTAATGCACATGAACATCTGCATGAATAGTTGCTTAAAATATGTCCATAGCTTTGCAGTTGTTAGCATGTAAAACATAACCTGAAGAAATTCCTGGCCTCTTCACTGCAAGTTGTCAAATACCACCAAATATTCTATTTCCTTACCAAAACTACAAAAAACAAACCCACAAACCCCTCAACACCTTGTGAGCTCCTATACAGCATAATATGTATGAAAAGTCTGACGCAACATATACCGTTGGCCCTGGATTCTGCATCCACAGATTCAACCAATTACAGTTTGAAAATATTTACACACACAAAATATTAAACCTCAATTTTGCTACTTTATATAAGGGACATCATTTTACTATGCCACTGTATAGGATGAGATTTGAGCATCCATGGATGTGGGGGGGGGGTGTCCTGGAACCAAACCCCAGCAGATACCAAGGGGCCACTGTATTGGATGCTTTAGTGTTCAGATATAGAGAAGATAATGTCTGGCATTCTCTTGGTGAATAATGATGCCATAAGTCAGACTTTGTTGTTTTTTAACTGCCATCAAGTTGACTTCAACTTATGGCAACCTTATGAATGAAAGACCACCAAGTCATCAACAGCCCTACTCAGGTCTTGCTCAGGGCCATGGATTCCTTGACTGAGGGGGGTTGCAGACTGCCAGAAATATTGCAAATTGAGTCCACTTTTAGGGTTAGGGTTAGTGCTAGGGAATCATGGGAATTGTTTGTTGTTGTTTTTCTGAGACATTGAGCCTTCTCTGTCAGAGAGCTCTGGTGCCACAATAAAATACAGTTCCCATGATTTCCTAGCACTAACCCTAACCCTAAAAGTAGACTCAATTTGCATGGTTTCTGGCAGTCTGCACCTCCCCTGAGTCTCTCCATCTGAAATATGGTCTTCCAGTTTTGTCTAATGATATATTTTACATGTTATAAAAATAAATAAATAAATAAATAAATAATGAAATAAATAAATAAATAATGAAATGTGGTCTTCCTCTTTCCCTACTGTCCTCTACCTTGCCAAGGATTATTGTCTTTTCTAGGGGGTCATGTCTTCTCATAGAATGGCCAAAATGCAACAATCTTAGTTTGTTGTTGTTGCTGCTGTATGCCTCCAAGTCATTTTTTTCTTTACTTATAGTGACCCTAATAAGACCCTATCATAGTTTTCTAGGGAAGTTTCTTCAGGGGTGGTTTGCCATTGCTATCCTCTGAGGCTGAGAGTGTGGGACCTGCCAAGGTTGCCCAGTGGATTTTTATGCTTGAGCGGGGAATCAAACCCTGATCTCTAGAGTTGTAATCCAATGCTCAAACCATTACACCACACTGGCTCTGAGTCATCTTGGATTCCAGGGACAGTTCAGGCTTAGTTTGCTCTAATAGCCATTTATTTGTCCTTTTAGCAGTCTACATTATCTGTAGAATTCTTATCCAACACCACATTTCAAATGAGCTGATTTTCTTCCTGTCAGTTTTCTGCACTGTTCAGCTTTTGCAACCATACATAGAAATGGGAAATAATATGTCACGGACAATCTTAACTTTAGTATTCAATGATATATCTTGACATGTCAGGATCTTGTCTAATTCCTTCATAGCTGCCCATCCCAATCCTAATCTTCTGATTTCTTGATTGCTGTCTCCATTCTGATTAATGACTGAGTGATGGTATGGAAAATCATGAACTAATTTCAGTGTCTTCATCATCTACTTTAAAGCTATATAAATAATCTGTAGTCATTATTTTGAGTTTCTTTATATTCAAGTGTAAACCTGCCTTTGCACTTTTTTCCTTGATGTTCTTCAGTCAGATTTACACCGTCATAATTCACTAATCAAATGCCAGTTATTATCTTCCCTATATCTGAACTTTCCCTATATACTTTCCTCTATCTGAACAACTAACTTCTTTGGTCATTGAGGAGGTTGACATTCTTTTCCAACCATACAACAACCAAAATCCCCCCAACCCATCATATAAGCAGCACAGTCCCCCCCCCCTCTAATGACCATTTCCATGCTGTCAGAGAGCCGGGAAGATTAGTGGGGACACATCCAGCTACTTCCCTATTGCTATTTCCTGGATGTTCCTGTGGATGCCTGCCTCAGTATGTCCAGCTGCAGGAAATTAGCTTGACATATTCCTGATAATGGAAATGACCATGTTGTGGAGAGGGAGTACTACTTACAAGGTGGGTTTTAAGGGATACTTTGGAAGACTTAGCTATTTGATACATGAGATATACATAACTATCTAGACCAGGGGTAGGCAACCTTTCCCCTTTAAGGGCTGAGGGACTTCAGCTCCCAGAAGCCTCAGCTATGTTGGCCAATAGTCCCATGTTGGCCAATAGCTCCTGGGATTCTGGGAGCTGAAGTCCCTCAGCCCTTAAAGGGGAAAGGTTGCCTACCCCTGATCTAGACCATAGATTATGGGTCTATATGGATGCTTCTGGACTCTGCCTCTCCAGATGATCCAACAAACCCAGTGCAGTCTCATGAGTGAAGAACATATATACCCTGATCTTTTAATAGATCTTTTCCTTGATCCTGATGTTATTATAACAACACTCCAAAAAGGATGAAAGAGTTTATAGGCACACCTAGAATGGTATATATAACTGTGATCTTGTTTAGGACCAAATCTTATAAGCTCAGAGATTCTAGTGACTCTTCAAACAGCATTTCAACAGGATCCAGAGACCACTTTTGAGAGCACCAGTCTTCTCAACTTGATACCCTACATATGTCTCATAGAACAGTTTCCGTAAGTCCCACACAACATGGCCACCGATCACAGAATGGAATGATAGCAATTGCAGTTCAAATGTGTAGGTTGCCAGTTGGGGAAGACTGTAGTAGAGCCACTAAAATTACCAGGAATTAAGTTAGTAATGATTCACAAGTACCACTGATCCTATTGGGCCTAGTTTAAGGACAGATGAGTCTGCATTCAAACCACAGGCATCAAATGTAAGATGTATTCAAACCACATGCAAACCAAATGCATCAAATTAGGCATGGGGATATTAAACAGATCGGACTAGTGCCTGTTTCTGAAGTGGGTTATTTTCAGAGACATGTGGCTGACTCTACATACCCAACAAAAGGATAAAGTTGTTAGATTTATATAATGCTTTCTTATCACATTGAGTGGACTTAGTGGTAAGAAAGTTCAGTTTGTTTGATCTTTGTGAAATCTACAATTACTGTAATTCAATACTGTAATTCAATACTTAAAATTCCTAGGTAAAATAATAAATACCTAAGGACAGATTATAGAATATATAAGGTAAAATAGAAAAACAGCTTCAAATCCTCCAGACTGACTTTATTTTTTAAAACACCAAATAAATGTTACATACTATAGAAATAAAACCAAGATATATAGTGATAATGTATTTTGCAAGTCACCTTGAGTCCCAGCTTTGAGAAAAATGTTGAATATAAATAAATTTTTAAAAATGCAGTACAACAACACACACATTGAACTACACATTGTATTCTTGGATCCCTGTACAATACAATAACATAAAGATACAAAAGGCTACCATTACTTTTAAAAAAAACCAGCATTGTTACAGGAGACAACATGCTACTTCCAAGCTCTGATAAATTCGTATGTACCAGTGTTTAGTAGTAGTAGTACTCCTTGTAGCAGTAATATGTCCCTCTGCCACATATCTAAAGCTTGAAACCATACCTTACTTTACCCAAGAGATATACAGTAAATTGACATACAAGCTTTCTACCCCAACTTTTTAATGAAATTGACCATAGCAGGTTCGTGAGAACACCATTGTTAGACATGTGAACAGAGCAACCAGCTGACATCAACAGAAGGCTTTTTGATTGATTTTAAATTAAGGTCACAGTCCCTCAGGCCACAGCTAGATTTGATTATTCCTGGCATAATTTAAGTGTGTGTTAGGTTTGGTTTTTTTTTTTTTAAGGGCAGCAGTTTAAGGTATTCAGTGGAGCAGTGACCCTATAAAGCAAAGCAGCTTATCGCATGTTTAGAAAAACAAACACTGCCACAGTTCTTCTGGCAAGTCTCTGCCACATATATATGAATTTGCTGTAGCCCAATTTAATAATTGGATTCACATGTTCTACTACTTCCCTCCCTAAAAGGTCAAGGTGCATAGTCCACTCCTTTGCTTTTCTTTACAAAACAGCATGTAGACGAATGCATGCATAGTAGATGTAGATGCTTAAGGGGTACTCTTAAGGGGTGTTCATAGTTTCATGAAAGAACACAGTCAAATCTATATATCATTCCTTATACTGCTCTGTTAATATGGGGGTGGTTGTTCTTGGAACCCTCTTAGCCTGTTTACACTGCACAGTCTTTTTTCTGTTCTGCTTCTATGACATGATAAAAGAGTATGATTCTAGGACAATTGGAAGACATCTCTTACCTTTTCAGCCATGTAGTCTTAGCCTAAAGCCTTAAAAGATTACAGAATCAACCAGTAACAAAGTGGCTCAAATCAGAAATGGCATCAAAAGGTATGCATAAATCCTGACATATTAGATCCCACTGTGGTTTAAGTTTCCTACAGCCAGGCAACCCATAATTTATGCCTGCTTTAATTTTCTGGTTGCTCACTTCTTTGCTGCCCTGACTTCCAGAGGGTGCAGCAATAGTCATAACCATGGTTTGTCAATTCAGACACAACACAAAACCACACTTTTAGTACATAGTTAGTTCAGGCTTGCTGATTGTGAACTGCCAATTCAGATATCGCATGCCAGAGTTAAACTTCTTTAATCTTGGTTTGGTATAATGTTTGAAGTAAACAACTGATCTTTATTCTGAAGAGTACTACAATACCTATTATTGGAGTATGTTTTCATAGTTCAGATTTGGCTATTTCTAATTTTAAAATGTGCTATAAAAAAACCCCCAAAGAAAGCTCACTCTAAGGCATTTATTTCTACATTCTTTTTGTAGTTTAATCAAATGGTTAAAATAAAACAGAAAATTATCAATAAATAGTGTTCATACTAAGAGAACTAAAAGCAGACTTACTAACACTAAGTTTTCATTACTTAACTTTTGTAGGACAAAAATATTTTGCATCTTCACAATATTAAATACAGTATGCAAATCAACTGGTAAAAATGCCAGTTATATCTCTTCCAACTGGAAGTTGTAACACAACAAAATATGCAGAAGTCAAGCTGGGGGGAATCCTTCAGCACAGCACTGTAATTTGGTAGATTATGCAATACTGTATTAAGATCTAAGATCAAAGCACTGGACATTCTCATAAACAGAAGCCTTAGCAGAAACCTTATTATTGTAAAAGAATAAAAACTGCACTAGAGTGAAGCACCTCTTGAGAGGAGGAATGGAAAAGCAAGGACTAGTTGTTTCACATTGTCAAAGCTGAACTAACAGATAATTGGTGGGTTTAAATACATTGTACAGTGATCAATGTACATATGTTACAATACTCCCATCCCAGTTTGTGATAATGGCCATCAAAGGTTTGAATGTTGACAATCTAACACAATTTTTGTAAATTTGAAATTTTGGAAATTCAAAAATGCCCTGGAGATCTTTTTAATGGCCCCCTAAAACTGATTGCTGGCTATGGCTGCATCCACACTGCAGAAATAATCCAGTTTGACCCCACTTTAACTGCCATGGCTCAATGCTATGGAATTCTTGGAACTGTAGTTTGTTGTGACACCAGACCTGACAAGGCTAAATGTTTAAAAAAAACTACAATTCCCAGAATTCCATAGCATTGAACTAAAGCAGTTAAAGTGATATCAAATTGGATTATTTCTGCAGTGCAAATGAAGCCATTATCTCCTGTATGTCTGAAAAGTGGATGAATGATTATGTGTATATACAGGGGCAGAGAACAGTTACCTCATCCCAAAGAATTATGAAAATCTAACCATGCCTAATGGGCAGAGTTAGCATGTAAGTTACCTGGAGACAATCTAATCTCTTCTCATACATTCTCCATTTTACAGATATCTCCATACCAGCTGGTGGCTTCCATATCAGTGGAGCAGTGAATTTGCTCAGGGTTTTTGTCTAAATTTTAAAACTGTCCAGGGACTTAACCCTATGCAAAATACATTTAGCTCTTTGGATAGCTCCAAGGTTTGGACTAAAACCCAGAGCAGTTTCACTACCTCACTGAGGTGGAAACCATCAGCTCCTACTGAGAGTTATATTGTTGTTGCTAGGAATATAAAATCCTTTCCAATTTGCTGTAAATGACAAGAATCCACCATAATATCTACTTTCCCTCCACCACTAACCTGAATATCTTTAATGAGACTCCCACCAAACATGGCACAGCCA